TTTCCCTGATGCAGAATAAAAAACTTTAAATATAAACACCAGGGTCCTAATTTTACAGGTTGGAAGACAGAAAAAAGAAACATGATGCATCTAGTGTCAGCAGCAACCTAAAATACCAGCTGCACAGTAGCGAATTTGAAGTTGTTTGTTTAATCAAAGCAAGATGCCATCCAGAAAGTTTGAAATTTTTAGTACTGATGAAGGTCCTAAGTAAAGTAAGATGAAACCTGACTGATAGCAGTTCTACTATAGCTACTACATAAATAAATACTTTCTCAAAACTTGGGTTTTAATAACATACTTATTTGCAATGCAGATTAAAGTAGTACTACTTTGTCTTCACTGATGATAACACTTGATTCTCTTCACATCAGTTTATATAAAGATCAAGTTTGTACACATCTATCAGGAGCTGAACAGGATTGAATGTTCCTGTTCTCAGAAAACTTGATCTGTTAAATAGAAAAGGATTAATTTCTATTCCACATTATTATGTTCCTCTGCAGTAGGATTAAATTGATACTCTTGAAATATGGGAGGTTTGGGGTTCTTTTTTAATGTAATCAAACCAAGCAAGAAATCTTACATACTGAGAATACTGGGTCCCACAATGACATTTAAAAAACCATACCTCTCATACCTGATCCACTTTTTGTGTGGTTTACAGTGTGCTGAAATCTGTGAGTTGCCTAATGAAGGTAAGGTAAGAACTCATAAGAAACTGCCTTGTTTCTTGCATCATTTCACATTAACCCTAGCCACTATGTTCAGGAACAAATAACTGAGGTCAGTAACACCTTGGTGTCCTGGTTTAAGTAACTTTTGAAGACTATTCTATCATCTGTACATAATGATCTTCTAAGGACTTCTATCGGCGAAGCTTGGCAATTTTCACCAGAGTTGTGAGTTGACTAATGCTGAATCGGCATGCATGGAAAAATACTATTAAAGGGTTTTCTCCTCTTAGTCATATGGCTGGAAAGAAAACCAGATTGGTTGAGTGGTCAGGTAATTACAGTCTTTGGAAAGTACATGAGCAGCTACAGAGAAAGTACATGGACATAACTAGATCTTTTTATTTCATTCTTCCCTTTTCCACCTATGGTTATTTTGTTCCTGAAAAAGCAAGCACAGAAGAGCTTCTAGGGAAAAAAAACCCTTGACCCAGTAGAAATATCACCATTGCAATGACCACTAGTATGTGAAGCCTGTCATGTAATACATTGCTGCTGTTATTTTTGCCTGACTCCTCCAGTTCTCCTTTTTAATTCCTTACAATGACCTTTTATCAAAGATAATTCTTCTCTGTTGTGCTAGTTATTTTCCCCAAAATAGTCCACTTCTTTGTGGTATGTAATTGAAAAGAAAAATTAGAATGCCAGATACTTCTTTAATTGGCATGGATTTCTGGATATATCAGAAATGTATTTATGTTTTTAAAGGAGATATTTATTTACCTGGCTGAATAATTTCTATTACTTTTCCCCAGATTCCATCTGGATAAGCTACAATGGAGTAAAAGTAAAGAACAACATCCTCTAAAGTGCTCTTAATGAACTATAAGGTCTTTTCTTCCCTGGAAACATTTTTCAAAATAAATTCTTCCATTGTATTTGTCTTCAATACCTATGCCATAGATTGCCATATATTTTCTTTATTAATTACATTAAGTTTCAACCAGGATATCTGGATTTTCATGGCTTTTTTTGGATAGATGCATTACAGTTTCAACTTCTCAGTAAGTCTAACAGTTGAATACACAAACTTTCCTTCCACATTGGCTAAAAGACACATAGAAGTTCAGTTTCAGAATTAAAATATCTGAAAACCAACACCAAGACTCAGAAACTACTTTGCAGCACTACAAGGAAAACACTGAAGAAAAAGTTCATTAAAAAGTCAATCAAACAAACACAACAACAACAAAAAAATAAACCAGCAAACCCTAGACATTATTATTCCTTCTAAATTGGGAATATTATTAAACAGTCAAAACTTATCTCAGCTGGACAGTAACACTCTTGTGAATTGTGATCATACCTGTCTTGATGTAAAAACAAAAGGAAAGATGTCAGCTAGGGGTAAGAAAGCAACTTTACTTCTACAAAGTTGGAGAAGAACAATAAGGGGAACGGAACTGTGTGGTCCATCTCAAAGAACATAGGAATCAGTGACTGCAGCATGACATGGTTTTATTCGATCTCTGCACACCTTGTGCCATTCTCACAGGATGTTTTTACTTTTGAAATGTGAAAAACATCATGCGCTTTTTACTTTCACATTGAAAGAAACACCAAGTTTGATGTCTTGGTGCAGTTACATCAGAATAGGAATAAATTCCTATCAAATCCACCTCAAAGTTTGCATCACTGTCACAGTTTGACTGAGGATTGGCAATTAAACCAGAGACAATAATGCTCTCAATCCCCTCCCCCTCTCATCCACATAGGGAAGGAAAGAGAATGAGGGAGAGAGACACTCTGGATTGAAAACTAAACTAGACAGCATTAATTAAACACTGATGATAAAAGAAAATATGGGCAATTATGTACAAATGTGTTCAGGAATGTGCAAAAGCCTCTTGCTGCCCACCACCCCCAGCAACTCTCACAGCACTCTCCTTAGCTGTGAAGAATCATGGACTGCTTCTGGAGATAGAGTAGAGAGTTATGAGGGTCGAGGGATGCACAGCCTAGAGGTCAACAGCGATGGATGGACAGAGTCCTCCCCAGATGCCAACCATGGATGGAAGAGAAGGGAAGTTGTCTTCTGTGATCTCTGACTTTCCTCTGAGCTTACGTAGATATATGGAATTTCTCTTGCCAATTTTGCTGTCCATGTAGCTCAGCCTCCTACAGGGGGGTCATAGATCTCCTCGTAGTGCCTGAGCTGTCAGGGCAAAGTTATGACCTTGGAGTCCTGTTAGTAACAAACATTCCAGTGTTATCAGTCCAGTAGCTGGAACACTTGCTGCTAGTTAAAAGAAAGCTTACTGAAGGAAAAAAAAAAATCAGTAAAAGGAAAATTGACTTCATCCTGGCTCAAACCAGGACAATTACTAATGAACCTCTAGCAATATGCATGAATACTATGAAAACTGATGAAGCAGGTATCTCTAGGTTTCATCAGCAGAAGCAAACATAATTCTTCCAAACCATGTATCCAAAATCAACAGATTTTCTCAATTTTTCTGCTTCTGCAGTTCAATCAACATCTATCTATTATTTAGGGAGTATAAAATCTAGAGAGAAGATAAGGCAGTTCCAATATATTAGAAGTTATAATTCTGTGACTAGTTATAAAAAGTAATGTCTTAAGTTCTGAGAATTTATTTGTGATAACTTGTCATGAGATAGTATTTTGGGATCAAAATTATGCAGCTCGAAAATTCTTGTTCAAAGGTGTAAGAA